AAAAAACACAAAAAACGGCAGCCGCAGGGAGCGTGTGGAGGGTGGTCAAGGCAGCTTGCAGGGGGGTGAAGGGCAGCACCCGCCCGCTCCCTCCGCCCGTGGGCAGCCCTCCGGCCTTGGGGTGCCTCTCCCGGCGGAGCCCCTGGGGGCTGCAGGAGGAGTTGGCTCAGCCTCTCCTTTAAAGGCGGCTCTGCTGGGCCGGGCTCAGAGCGGCGCGGGAGGCGGAGGCCGGTGCAGGCGGCGGGGAGTGGCGCGTCCCGGGGAGCCCGGCGGCACAGTGAGCGGTGGGGATCGCTAGTTCGTGCCCCTGCAGGGCTGGGCTGGCTGCCCCAAAATTGGCCAGAATGCCGCCCCTTACAATGTGCCGCCCCAGGCACATGCTTTCTCGTCTGGTGCCTGGAGCCGGCCCGGGTCGTACTTAAGCCCTCACTTATTCACAGAAAGCAAAGACCCAAGGGTCCCAAATAGGTTTGAATGGACACTTTGCTTTTTGAATTCAAATGAACACACCTGAATAATTCAGGAGAGGACACTGGGAGAGTGACAGGTTTCTGTTTCTCTGTTAAGGCTACTACACTCAGATCTCCACCCTGGCAGATGTTCAGGAGAATGTGATGGAATATCTGCATGTGCTCAGCCGTCCAATGGTCATCAACCATGATCATGACATCATATGGACTGAAGCCTACATGGACAGTGCGGTAAGGACGTTGAGTTAAGCTTCAATCAGCAGACAGTAAAGGCTAAGTGAAGGGGGGGGGATCAGGGCTGTGACACCTGGATCTCTTGGAGGATCCCGCAGAAATATGAACATACTGTAAAACTGGGAGTCATCTGACTTGTAGAATTTACTGTGCTCTGCACCTGTTTAGACAGGCAGCATTTCTTTCCCCTCAAGCCTGGAATTGAATCCTCCATGGAAAGTCTCAGGTCTCCTTGAGAGTATGCAGTGAGCCAGGAAACCAAGGCTAATCACAAATGCACAACATGACCTAAGTAGTGTTTCTTTTCTCCATTAACTCAGGGTACTTTATAAAGGATTATTCACAGGACAGAGATTAGTTACAGCTCAGGATATGGGTCACGGAGATTCTTTTCCTCAGCTCGCACCATGCTGTCTGTCACACAGAGAGATAGATCTCAGTTTGGGTGTCAAGCTTGTTCCTTTGCTCTCTGCGCTAGCAAGATTTAGGATGATTACAGGGCAAGTGCGCTCTACTCTTGGGGTGAGGGAATACCTCGCAGCCAGTGTGAGGGAACTAAGCGTAGGGTGCCCCACAACCTTCTACTCTCCTTTGGGGTCCTCCCATTGCTGCTGCAGGCTGGATCCTCTCACTGCTACCTCAACATTTTTATGTGGCTGCTCCATTGTTTGTGGCCTACACTAGTGGTATGCTTGAGATGTTCTGGAAATAAGGATGCCACAGCAATGTGCCTTTGAGATCAAGAGAAAGTAAAAAGAGAGACTAAGAGGAGTGGGGTATGAAGGACTCCTTCTCCCACCCTTCCTCAAGCAAATAGAATTGTTTTCCTTGGTCATTTTCTTACCTGTTTTTTTGCCTAGAGGAAAGAGCAGTCCAGTTCTGCTTTTGGTGATCCCAGCACCTTCATGCAGGAGATTCTGGGTTTGGTGTTTTCCTTCTCTAGGAGCACTCACCACAGAACAGGCTATAACAGGGGTTGACAACCTTTCAGAAGCGGTGTGCCGAGTCTTCATTTATTCATTCTAATTTAAGGTTTTGCGTGCCAGTAATACATTAACGTTTTTAAAAGGTCTCTTTCTATAAGTCTATAATATATAACTAAACTATTGTTGTATGTAAAATAAATAAGGTTTTTAAAATATTTAAGAAGCTTAATTTAAAATTAAATTAAAATGCAGAGCCCCGCGGACCGGTGGCCAGGACCCAGGCAGTGAGAGTGCCACTGAAAATCAGCTCGCGTGCCGCCTTCGGCACGCGTGCCATAGGTTGCCTACCCCTGGGCTATAACGTAGGAGTGACAATGCTTTCTCCAGATGCTTCCCAGCCACCAGGCGGCCTTGACCACTTTCAAGTGGAGTAGTTGCCCTTAGGAAGGAGCCAAATTACAGACTATGCTCTGACCCCCAAAGAGGTGTCAGAGGAGGGGAAGATGTTGAGAGGGTTCAGACAGTGACTGAAGAAGTGTGATCCAGAGCATTAGAGCAAGAAATAGAGTTGTTTAAAAAGGGCGGATGAAGATATGATATTTAGTCCCCTCAATTCATTAGCCTCTGTCCACTGTAGCAGTGCTGGTTTTATTCCATTTTCAGGGCAGTAGGAAAAGAAAGTGAATAATCCCAAGTCACATGAAACCAAGTCAAAGAGCCTAATAGTAAAGATTTCCACTCCTGACATAACTAACTAAACAATCACTGTGCCTTTTGATTAACCTCTTTGCCATAGGATGGTATAGAGCCTCTTTCCCATCAAAGGGGCATTACTACAGGTTTTAAGAATGTGCCGATTTAAATGGGGCCTATTTAAAAGGCATGGTGGTTAGTGGGTGGCAGTTGTGTCCTGAGAAGGATCAGGTCTCAAGAGAAAATGGTTGTCTGAGATTTATGGAACTGATTTGGAGTCAGGTGAGTGAGAAAGGAGAAAAGTTTATATATTCCTTCATGGAAAAGTCCTTTAATAGGGATGAAACCAATAGGATTAGATAGAAATTACTCTAAAAACCTGTGGAATTTTAAATAGAATGATCTCCTTTCTATAGAATTTCTAGAACCAACCAGTGGAATATCTGTGCCTGCTCTAGAATTCTACAGGCTGGCTTAAAATTCTATAGAAGTGTGACTAATACTCATGTTAAATTTGATAGGACTCTTCCAAAGGGAATGACATATACAGGTTTTGCACTGATTCATGCTTGTGAGACACCATTGGTTAAGCCCTGGGAAGGCTGGTCCTCACTTCTGTGCTGTGGTTGAACATGGAGGTATTCCTTGGGATGTACCTGCTCTCTGGGGGCAACAAAGGAAATATGTTTTGCCAAGCATACTATGCACATGAGGTACTGGTGAGTCAGTTACTGAGTGTGCTGAGCAAAACCATCAATAGTGCTCCCTGCTACACAGCAAATTCTATATGCCCTGGCTCTGGTATTTTGTAACAAGAGCGTGAAGTGATGTTTTGTCCACTGATGCTTTTCTTGTTTGTCTCATTTTTCTGGCTTGCATTTGTCTTCCTCTCCTGCTACTTCTCATGCTTTTTATTCATTCATGTATGCATTCATTCATTTATCCATCCATGTCTCTTGCTAGCTGCCACAATCTGAGGAGGTAACCACCTGTGCTGTGTTCTGTGAGCGTGCCACTCCCATTGTGTCGGCTGGTGTGTGCGTCTGTGCTAGTTCATCTAGTCACTGCTGAACTGTACATCCAGGGAGGGGAGAAGGTGGGAGCACTGAGGAGGTGTGTCAGGAAGGAAATGGTAACACTGGATGTACTGGAGAGCTGTGCTGTTGGATGAGAGTAGGTAGGGAGTCCCTGTGCTGTACAGTAGTTTAGTCCAATGTATGTATTTTTACATATGTAGAGTGTGTCACTGTGAGATACATGTGCTAGGTTAGCCCTAGCACCGCTGTGAATAAGAGCTATCCACCCAGATATGAGAGCAGCAACAGAATGTGCTCAGCTCAATAAGGCAGAATACCAGCTTCAACCCTTCATCAAGTTACTGTCTAGAATGGCTGGCTCCCTTTATGGTTCCCAGCATGCACAGAGAGAGGACACAGGACTTTGACCTTGCCAAAGGTGAGCTGCTTATCTGGCCAAATGAGAGACAGAAGGGACTTGCTTCCTGTGCCAAGGAAGGAGAGTCACTAGGTATATCTGAGAGACTCCTGTGCACGTGTTTTGTGTATTTTATATGTTCCTCCTGTGTTTTGTGTGTTCTTAGAATGTCTTTCCCACAGAGTATTGAGGGCTCTCTGACATCACATTGCATGTGTTTGTGCTGTGTCCTATATACATGTCTTTTGGGTGTAGCTAAGCATGTTTTGTGTTCATATCATGTTTTTGCCTCTATCTTTGCAGTTTCTTAAGCAGTCCCTAGGCACACGTGTGATGAGTGCGTTTAAATATGCTCTGTGCACGCTTCTTTTTAGCATTTGTCTGTGATGCTTCTCATTCAAGCTGTATGCATTGGTTTGGGGTATATTTATACAAGTGATTTTCGTGTCCATGAGTTTTGCCCATGTCTGTGTTGTTTCTTATAATTGTATTGTATGTGCACTTTGGTTGTATTTAAGCATGTTTTTGTGTGTGAACCTATGTCTGTCTCCTTGGCATGGACATACATAATGGGTATTAATTTCTAAAGATTCCTGTCTCTTTAGCATTAAGTTAGGTCTTTAATGCCTTTTTCTGAGACAAATTTCAATGTTTTTTATCCCAGGCTGATCACTTTCCCCACCAAGGAGCATTGTTCCTAGGGAAGATCAGAAATGTGCCTTTTATACGGCACTTTTTTTTCTGTATTATTTCATTCAGCATTTGGTGCCCCTGGAAACCCTAATGCTTCTGGTGGTGGCTCCGTATCCTATTGCACTTGCTAACACACTGCTCTTTGTCCTGTGGCAGCTCTTTGCATCTCAAGCTCAAAGTCTGCTGCTCATGACAACAGTAGCTATGCCGGTCTTCAGCAAAAAGAATGAAACGGTAAGTATAGTGCTGCCCTGCAGTCTCCTTGGAACTAAGGCAGGTAAAATGATGCTGAGGTGGCCTGCAGTCTTCTAACGCCAGAAGATAGGCTTCTGTGGTGGCTCTAGTAAGCTGCTTGGCTATTTATTGATCTCTAAGAGATCATTTGTCCCTCCCTCTGAATGTTTCTTCTTCTGAGTATCACTGAAATAAGAAACTTCATCTTGTTTTCTCACCTCCAGCTTCAGACCCAGCCCAGCACCAAATGCGCAGACCCCACTCAAGCCCTGACTGTTCACTACGGAAAAGTGATGCAATGGCATTTGCCCAAGTTTAGGTGAAGGCAGGCTGAGCGCTAACAGAATTTCATTTCTGAGAACAGTTTCTCCTTTATTTTTTAGAGATCTCATGGCATTCTCCTGGGTGTAGTGGGCTCTGATGTTCCACTCAGGGAGCTACTGAAACTGGCTCCACGGTACAAGGTAAGATCCAAGTTAATGCAAACCATCTGTCATCATACATAGCTAAATGCCCAGTCACTTGTCCACAGGCATAATCCAATTAATAATCAGTTACTGTGCATAGAGGTGTAACCACAGATATAAAGCTTGGATCCTCTGATTTCTTTACAGAACCTGGGGAGTTGTCATTCACCATGACAAGCCTGTAGACTACTCTAGAAACAAAGAAACTGAATGTCTTAGCAGATTGTTAATAGGACCTAGAGCTTTTTACATCTTGAACACCAGCTTGAATGCATGCTAGGATAATAATGGCCCAAGTTGTCACCATGGAATGACTCTTTGGTGGCCTATCTAAAAAGACCTGGTAGTTTCCATCCAGTTCCCAGTAGACTAAAACCACCATCATAGCTGGCACCATCACAACTAGCATCACTGTTGACACTCTTGGGAGAGATGCCAAGGATAGAATGGACAATTGAAACCGAACTATTCTGTCATGCCTAGAGGGACTTTCTCCAAGTCAGTGTTGAGATTTGTTGGCAGGGAAAGTTGAGGAAGTTTGCACTATTGCTGCTTGTACTGTACTCATTTTGTGGTTAAAAGGGATTTCAGTCCCCAGACTTGTTAAGCCAGCCCCTTTCACCAGCTCTGTGTTGCTTTTAAAATATGTTTTAAAAGAAAGTTGATCTAATTGAAAAAATGAATTTTTAATGAGACTCTGTGGGAAAGTGCTATTCTCTGTGAGGCCTGTTATACTTTGCTTTACTAGACTTGTGCTGAGAATTCTGTACAATGTCTATTGGTCCCTTTAGTGAATTTCCATTAGGGGTCACCTTGACAGCAGTGACTGCTGGGGATTACGCTAAAATTCATGTGACTTAAGCTATGGGTTCAAACTTTTTGTTCCTATAAGTGTGACCAAACCAATGGTGGATAGTTGCACACACTAGAATACCTAATGTCTGATTGATAATTACCCCCACAAGTGACTCCTCCTTCACTATCAAGCAATATACATCTGTATGGAGGTGTTAGAGGCCCTAGTTTTCCAATGGATAATTCTTGTCTTCACAATTGCAAATTATACCTGAGTTTTAAGAACCCTGTGGATTGGCTGAAATATATATTGTAGGCGGACTTGATCTGATTAGTCACTCTCTCAGAGTTCACCTGGAGGCCAAGTGCGACATTGCCTGATCTTGTTAGGCTATGTCACTTCTTAAGCAGTACTTGTACCTAACAATGCTGGATTTACCTCTGCTGGGTCTGGCCTTGGCAGCACTGCGACATGATGCAGACTCCCTTTGTCAGAGGGTAGATGGCCCTCTGAAGGGGTCAGGGGCTCATCCCAGTGTACTTCTGACAGGATCCACAAGGGGGAATGAGACAACTCAGGTTCCCCTGGGAGAACTTAAGTCTCTGAGGGTACATCTACACTACAGGGGGGAGTCGATTTAAGATACGCAAATTCAGCTACGTGAATAGCGTAGCTGAATTCGACGTATCACAGCCGACTTACCCCGTTGTGAGGACGGCGGCAAAATCGACTTCTGCGGCTTTTTGTCGGCGGCGCTTACTACCACCTCCCCTGGTGGAGTTAGAGCGCCGATTCGGGGATTGACTGGAAGGCAGTTAATTAGGCACATGGGTAGGGTAAAAGGGATGTTGGTTAAACAAGGACTCCTGAGGAGAAAGGAAGCTCCAGAGGAAGAGAGCTTCCAGAGAGCCTGGACTAGGCAAAAGCTCTCCAGGTAAGGAGGTCTGGGAAAGACCCTGAGCAAACAGAGGAAAGACTGTAGGGCTCTTCAGGCAAGGGAGAAGCCTGAGGCTTTACAGCAGAAGGAGCTGCTGCTGGGACATAGAGACTTTTGTTAAGTTTTAGCTGGGCTCTGAGGTAAGAGCCTTTAAACCTGGTACAAGTGCTCCTTTCAGAAGGCTTTATAAAGAGAGAGAGACTTCTATCAAGTAGAGTATTTTGGCTTCTCTGTGACAGGGCTGTTTAAGTAACTTCATTGTTAACTCAGGCCACAGCAGAGCCACACTCAGCCCCAGAGGATTCTCAGAAGGTGACAGTGCTCCTTCTACACCCTTTTGGGGCTTGGTTTCCAGAAAGATGAGCTATGAGATCCACACTCAGTTGTGCATCTACAGTGGCCACCATGAAAATTTTGATTATTGCCTCAATACTTGTGACACTGTTACCATAGTGTTCTTCATTGTTCCACATTCTAAGTATAGGAGTGCCATGGATACCAAAATTAATTCTACTTCCTAAATGGTAATTGTCAGCCACTCACTGTCTGTGCACTAACTGCAGTTACACCACAAATCAGTTACCTCATCAGTGCCTAGCTATCCATTTTGCTAAGGTGGCTAACGGCATTTTGGGCTGTCTAAGTAGGGGCATTGCCAGTAGATCGAGGGACGTAGGGGGAGGGATAGCTCAGTGGTTTGAGCATTGGCCTGCTAAACCCAGGGTTGTTAGTTCAATCCTTGAGGGGGCCACTTAGGGATCTGGGGCAAAATCAGTACTTGGTCCTGCTAGTGAAGGCAGGGGGCTTGGGGCTGGACTCGATGACCTTTCAGGGTCCCTTCCAGTTCTATGAGATAGGTGTAGGTGTATCATTCCCCTCTATTTGACATTGGTAAGGCCTCATCTGGAGTACTGTGTCCAGTTTTGGGCCCCACACTACAAGAAGGATGTGGAAAAATTGGAAAGAGTCCAGTGGAGGACAACAGAAATGATTAGGGGGCTGGAGCACATGATTTATGAAGAAAGGCTGAGGGAACTGGGATTGTTTTAGTCTGCAGAAGAGAAGAATAAGGGGGGATTCGATAGCTGCTTTCAACTACCTGAAAGGGGGTTCCAAAGAGGATGGATCTAAACTGTTCTCAGTGGTACCAGATGACAGAACAAGGAGTAATGGTCTCAAGTTGCAGTGTGGGAGGTTTAGGTTGGATATTAGGAAAAACTTTTTCACTAGGAGGGTGGTGAAGCACTGGAATGGGTTACCTAGGGAGGTGGTGGAATCTCCTTCCTTAGAGATTTTTAAGGTCAGGCTTGACAAAGCCCTGGCTGGGATGATTTAGTTGGGGATTGGTCCTGCTTTGAGCAGGGGGTTGGACTAGATGACCTCCTACGGTCCCTTCCAACCCTGATATTCTATGATTCTATGATTTCTGTACACAAATACTCAGTAAGACTCTTCTTGCTACCCAGAGAGCAGCTGGTGGCTAGGAAATCAGTCATTTAGGAGCAGAGCCTCTTCCTGATTTTTAGATTTATATCAATAGGAATGTTGGTGGGACAATGTACTCACTCCCCCGTTACAGAGCAGCCACTGGAGAGGAGATTGGGCTAATTATTTTAATACCTTTTTCTAACAGTTGGGAGTCCATGGATATGCCTTTCTGAACACTAACAACGGTTACATCCTCTCACACCCAGACCTCCGACCTTTGGTAGGTGATTCTGATGCTCTTAGTACTGTTGTGGCTTAAATCCACAGGCTTTCAGGAAGATTAATGCATCTCATGTTTTTATACAACCACTAGGGCTATCAGGTCATTGTCATGGATTCCTGCTGTAAACTTGCTGCTCACCAAATTTCCTTATATGAATTACCAAAACATATTCTCACAAACCAGCCTATATAGTTACCTGCAAGCCCACCTAGCCCTGTGCTAGCCCCTTGCTCCTGAAATGGCCTGTAGCACACAGTAATGCTCTCATCTCCAGATCCTGCCCACACATAGGAAATGTAATGGCTATAGGATAAGATGACACCTGCATCTAAACACTCATTCGCCAGTCAATCAAAATAAATGTGGCTTCTCTATTTTATCAATGCAATATTGACTGTAACGTGCTAGAGGGCTGGCCTGGAAAATTAGAGCTCCATTTCCTCTGTTTCTTCTATAAACTCCAGTACAGAGAGGGAAAGAAGCTGAAGCCCAAACCAAACTACAACAGTGTGGATCTCTCTGAAGTGGAGTGGGAAGACCAAGATGAAATAGTGAGTATCAGAAATGGATTGTAGCCTGTTCATGGGCCTTTCCTCCTAATTACTCTGGGGGGATCCTTATGGTAGATTGTAGCAATTCTTGATTTCTTCTTTCAGGGGCTGATCATTACAAGCAGAGGGTGAGTCCCTACAGAGAGAAACATCCCCTTCCCACTCCCATAAAGGGTGCTTGTCTCCCCTTCTATGGGTACGTCTACACTGCATTTGGGAGGTGTGATTGTAGCAGGTGCAGACATACCCAAACTGGCTTTGATCTAGCTAGGTAGTTAGACTGGGGCTAGGTCAAATAAGAGTCGCAATGAAGCTGCAGCAGCACAGGTGATGGCTGCTCAAGAATGTATCCAAGGTCCTGGGTGGACAAGGTTTGCCCAGGCAGCCTCCCATGCTGCTGCAGCTTGATTGCTATTGTTACCAGAACTAGCTTTTGATCTAGATCAAAGGTAGCTCAGATATGTCTACATGTGCTGCATCAGACCTCCCAGTTGCAGTGTAGATATACCCTAGGTCTGCAGTTTCCCTTACTTTATGTTACTCGGGGTGGGACTACACGAGTTCTGATGGTTTCTCACTTGAGCCTGCTTCTTGTTCTCTTTGGGACCAATGTATCTGGAGTCACAAGATGGGAGGGACGTGGGGAGGAGATCAAAGCTCCAATAAGTACATTCTGGGAAAGTTCAGATTCAGGTCCTAACTTCGGAGCACAGCCACATCACTATACTGGGAGAATCAGGCCCCCCACCCCCACTATCTTACCCTAAACAGCAGAGGGGTTTACAATCTGGATACAGATTTTGCTGCCATCTAATTCTAACCTTTCCTCTCACTGTCCACTGCAGTCTGTGTGCTGGGAAGGAAATGTTTTGCAAGGCCAGGATCACATGGAAGATATGGATGAAATACCAGGTGTCAGTAGCGCTGAAACACTTTTTATAGTGGGGGTGCTGAAAGCCAGCTAAGAAAACTGTAAAGCAGTAGTCCCCAAACGTTTTACCTTGCACCTCCCCTTACCTCTGTTCATGCCCCCCGTACTTCCCTAGAGCTGTGGTCCAAGAGGGGGGGACACGGACAGAGGTAAGGGGACCAAGGCTTGGGCCACAGCTTGGGGCAGGCACAGAGGGCCGGGAGCCAGGACCCTGGGTGTGGAGGGCTGGGAGCCAGGATCCTGGGCATGGAAGGCTGGGGGTGCTGCAGCACCCCCCATAGCTCTAGTTCCCATGCCTATGACAGGTGTCTTGACAATAGGGTGACCAGACAGCAAATGTGAAAAATCGGGACAGGGGGTGGGGAGTAATAGGAGCCTATATAAGAAAAAGACCCAAAAATCGGGACTGTCCCTATAAAATCGGGACATCTGGTCACCCTACTTGACAACTTAGAGCCCAGAGAGACTATGGCAGGCTCAGTCAGATCATAGAATACCCCAAGCCTCCCGGGCCTTAAGTCAGATGTTTCTGGCTAGGAGAGACTTACTTTGGTAGTCACTGTTTCATGCTCAGCGGGTAATTAAGCAAATGATTTTAGTACACTGAAGCATGCAGCAGTAGCAACTTGAACAATGGTCTTATTAGATCTTATAAGCTAAGTTGGCTTGGGCTTACCCAGTATTTGAATGGGAGACCACCACTGAAATACTGAAGGTGCTGCAGTAAGTTGTGTTGCCAAGTCAGTTGGTGCCCACCTCCTCTCTGAGTCAGTACTGAACCAGTGTCCTAGCATGATACTAGGAGGCATTGGGCTGCTGGAGGTGCCAGCTTTCAGATTAGCTAGGAAATCAAGGTCTTATAGTCATTAAAGATCCCTAGCACTATTTTTTTTGCAAAAGAAGTGGTGTCCTTGCAAAATTGCATTGTGTCTACATAAACGCCTCTTCACTCCATAGCTGAATAGGGTAGGTAGTCTCTTCACTCCCTGTCCCAGCATGTTGTATAGTGTTTCAGTGCTCTGTTAAACAGATGTGCTTCACTCCAGAAATGGCTGCATTTCAATAGCAGGTGAAATGGTTTGTGGGAGCAGCTTATGATTTGATAAATTGGTTTTAAAGTTTGTGAAGAGCTTTGGGGTTGTTCTGGAAGAACTAATATTGCTTTGTGTTTCTTTGGTGCCTTCTACCTGAGGATCTCCTAGTTCTGTGCAAACATTGAGAATACGTGACTTGCTCACTGTCACAAAGTGGAGTTGTGGCAAGATTGGCAGGTCCCTTCCCTCCAAGTCCTTAGCCTTAAGGACAAGACCATCTTTATAGGCTTTAAATACTAATAATCCATATTATTATATGGCATTTACCAGCCTGCCTGAATGAGTCTTCTGAGCTGCTCATAAAATGTTTAGTTGAGAGCTCTGAAAAGGCAGTGGAAAAGGGGAACCAGTCATTTCTCAGTAGATGCTTCCCCTATATGAATTATGAACCCCTCCACATCCTTTCCTTATCTAGTCAGAGGCACTAATGCTAATCTGTTCCCCTGTACAGCTGAGAACAGCAATGATCAATGGAGAAACGGGTTACCTTGCTATGGACGTGAAGGTCCCTGTGGATAAAGGGGTAAGAAATCCTGGTCCTGTTCAGGTCACAACTGGAATGGAGGTGGGAAATGGATGGTGGAGATCTATGGAGATGGTACAAACCTAATGCTCAGCATTTTGTGTGGGGATTTTAATATTATTATTATTCAAGTACAGATAGTCGGTTGACTTGTCCTCTCACCCCCCTGATCCTTACATTGCCTGCATATGTAATGCCTTTACATGTTTCACTCTAAGTCAATCCAACCAGCTCTGTCATTTTATTTCCTTTCTCTGTGGTATAATTTGTCAACATCTTTCTGGTACTGAAGTGCCCAGAGCTGGATGTTCTCTCACTGGAGCTCTATAGAGAGTTACTATAATCTTTCTGCTCCGCAGCATCAGATCTCTGCACATAAAGCCCCAACTCCCCTTGACTGCTGCCATATCATATTTGTCACTCCTCTCTAATTAGCTGCCGCCAGTCTCATGCTTATGTCTCTTTCAGCATTACTGTCTCCTCACTTTCTCCCTCCCAGTGTGTAGCTGTTTCTCATTATTTTTCTCCCTCCCGCTTCCAGACCATTTTCTAAAATGGTAGTTAAGATGGTTCCTAAGACACATCCTTGCTGTTCTCCACTTCCCACCACCTGATACGCTATTGTTTACCATTACGTTTCGTTTACAGTGTTTCAGTCCATTTTCATTCCACATGAAAAAGATCCTATCTCAGCCAATGTTAATTAATTTTTGGGGAGTAAAATTTCATGAGACACTGAAGCAAATGCTTTATGTAAATCCAAATATATTGTATGCGCTTTATTCCCTTCATCTATTAACTCTATAATTCTGTCAAAAAAAATGCAATCTGGTTTGTCTGGTGAGATCTATTCTTTAGAAGCCTAGGCTGCTTATTGCTCACGATTCTATTATCCTCTCAGGCAGGGGTCAGCAACCTCTTAGTTTATTGTATTGCTGCAGAATCACAATATAGTTTTCTCTGAGACATCCAAAGGAATCTTGTTTATTTCAACATTTTTAAGAATGTCACAAATGCCTAAAGGTTTCTCCATTTGCCTCCTTTTTTCCTTGTTTTTATTGTTCCCATCTGACATTTTCCTTATTTGCTTTTTTCCATCCTCTTTCTATATTTTCTCAATTCCACTTCTTTTCTCCCCCATGTTCTTTCTCAATTTTCCCCTTCTTTTTCCCATATTTTTCTCAACCCCGTCTGCTTTCCCCCCTATGTTTTTCTCTGTTAATTCACCATCCCCATGTTTTCTGTTTCTCCCTTCCCTTTTTTTATTCTGTTACCACTATTTCACCCATCACCCACTTCTAATATCGGGTTTTTCAAATAATTTCCCCTCTGTGTAGTGCACTTCAGGTTACACATGTGCTCCATGAACCCAGGACCAGAAATTTTCCCTAGCAGCGTCCTTCTGGTCCGTGCATGCATCCCTGCTCATCTTGTGCTCCTCACCAAAAGGATACAGCTCCCCTACCCCTTAGTTCCTTCCTACCGCTTGTGGTCTAGGACAGAGGTTTTTTGTCCCCCCCCCCCCCCCAGTCAAGGAGTGTTTCTCTGTACCCGCCTCAATCCCAGTTCTCCTTGGTTTCAGGAGACTATGCTGAGGATCCCCAGCTTTAAAAGCTGCATCAGGTGCCACAAAGCTTTCCTGGTCATGGCCTACCATGATACCTGTCTGTACTGCCTGGGGGAAGCGCATGTCTCTTCCAGGTGCAGTATCTGCAGGTCATTCCTGAGTAGGACTAAGCCATCCAGGGAGTTCTGATTCCAAGAGTTCCTCATGGAACAGTCCATGAAGGCGGGAACAACCTCTGACCAGGGAGACTCCCTGTATATCAGCCTGAAGAAGAAGAGTGACTCCTCCTCTTCAGTCCTGGGCAGCTCCAAGACTTCCACACTCCCTCTGGCTCCAAGAAACTCTGGAGAGCAGAACCAGAGAAGAAGGGGGAAGGGAGACATAAGCGCTCCCATAAGAACTATAGGGAAGGTTCCCCATCCAAGTCCTCTAAAAAGAGATAGGAGTTCCCATCCCATACCAAGTCATCAGTAGCTACCAGCTCCAGAATGGGACCATCCAGTACTGGGATTTTTTCAAAGGACAAGACCTCAGCACCCTTTGTTCCTAGAACTGCTTCCTTGGCACAGAAACTCTCATCTGTACCACCAGAGCCAGAGCTTCAGCAGCTCAAGTTATGGAAGCGACTCCGTCAACTCTGGCTTGTTTGTCAGCTCCAGATGACCTCTTGGTGCTCCTGCTTTCCAAACCCCAGTGCCCCGACCATTCCTTCAGCTAGTACCGATCTCCCTGCAGTACCCTTTTGCATCCCCATTCTCAAGCAGGGGTTTAGCCAGACTCTTGCCCGTACCATCAAAGAGCACCTCCTCTGGTACCAAGGGCTTCCCATCTGGATCTGAATCCTCAGAGTCTGAAGAGGACTATGACAGACCCGCCTGGACTATGCCCTGTGGGGTCCCTTGAGGGGATTGAGCCCAGACAGGACATTGGGAGTCTCCAGGGTCTCTCTCTCCTCCCATCTGAGAGAGTACCCACCCTACTCCTACTGGGGCCCTGCACTGAGGGGGTATGATAGCTCACAATGGCAGTATTTGGGCCCAGAAGACCCATGCGACTACCACCTAATGAACATACTTCATGGCACAAGGGACCTAAGGAGATTCAGAGCTCCCGAAGAAGAGGAAGAGCATCTTCAGCCTCCTCAAGAAGTGCAATTAAAGCAACAGGAGGAAGAGGATCAACAGAATAGGAGGATATCATGCCAATGACCTTGTCCTCCTCTTCCCCAGACAAGACAGTGATTCCAGTTTCCCCACTGTGTCCTGTTACCCTAAGGTCTTCCTGGACTTCCTTTAAAAGTGTGGCAAAGTTATTTCAAATCCCCCAGGAAGAGGCCCATGAAAACCCCACAGAGACTGCTGGAAATCCTTCATAGCTTGGCTCTGAGGAGGGTGGCTCTTCCAATTAACAAGCTTATCCTTGAACCTGCCAAGATACTTTGGCCCTCACTTGCCATGGTACCACCAGTATCCAAGCAGGATAAATAAGAGATTTCCTACCTGCAAAAGGGTCGGAGTACCTAGTCTCTTACCCACCTCCCAATTCATTGGTAGTGTGTGCAGTCACTGAGCATAGCAGACACACAGGCCAGGTTTATACCACATGAGAAAGAAGCAAAGAGGCTCAACCTCTTTGGAAGAAAGATGCACTCCTTGACCTCCCTGCAATTTCAAATCTCAAACTGCCAAATGTTGATGGTCAATTATGATTTTACCATCTATGATAAGCTAGCTGGCTTCACCAGTAAAATGCCCCAGGAAGTTAGAGACCGGTTCCAGGCCCTGACTGATAAGGGAAAGGTGGTGATGAGATCAGCCCTCCAAATGAACTTAGACACAGCGGTGAGGTCCATCGCAACTGCTGTCATAATAAGATGCTCATCCTGGCTTCCCTTCTTGGGATTCCCAAAGGAAGTACAAACAATGGTGGAAGGCCTCCCATTCGAATCTGACAAGCTGTTCAGCGCAAAGACGGATGAGTCTCTTCACTCATTGGAAGTCTCCTGAGCCACACTTCATTCACTGAGTATTTGTACACCTGTAATTAAAAGAAAACCCAGTACCACAATTTAGACAACCAACCCCACCTGTTTTTCATCACCAGCAGCAGTGTGAATTTCCATGCAAGCATCAGAGGACACATAGGAATGGTGCCCAGGGAAAACTACCCTTTACTTCCCAACCACTATTACCTCTGAAACCAGCATTTTGACAAGCCATTTGAGAGCTGCACATCAATGGTTTCACTGGATCTAGTCAACCTCTCTGGTTGTTCCCCTCCATTGGACACAAATCATGGTGGACAGATGGGTATTAGGGATTGTCTTCTTGGGCTACTTATCTCCCCAGTCACCTCCCTGCCCTTTTTTGGAGATCTCTCTCATGAGAGGGTTTTTCTGTAGGATGTAAACACTCCTCGAACTGGGGGTGGTAAAACTAGTACCTCCAGCAGTCAGGGGAAAGGAGTTCTACTCAAAGTACTTTCTCGTCCCTGAGAAGACAGTAGGAAGAAGACCCATTCTGGACCTCAGGGAATAAGTTTATCTGCCACCTAAAGTTCAGAATGGTGACTCATCAATTGTCCCATCTCTAGATCAGGCAATTGGTTCATGGCTCTCAATTTCAAGGATGCCAGCATGAAGGAGATTCCTGAGATTTGTAGCCAGCCAACAGCACTATAAGTGCAGGGTTCTCTCATTTGGACTCTCAATGGTGCTGAGTGTTTATCAAGGTACTTTGCAGTGTTGTCTCCATACTGGTCTCGCATGCTTGTTTCTGTCACCAACAGAAGTTGGTCCAATAAAAGATATTTTATTGTGTCATGTGTCTCTAATACCAAGGTACTGTCAGTGGTGCCAGCTCACCCCTGCTGGCAAGGGCCAATGCTATACCCTTATTTAGACCACTGGCTCCTAAAGGGCTGATCTTACCAGGAAACATGAGAAGCAACCTCCATACTTCTGGATCTCTTTGAGAGTTTGGGTCTCTGGTGAACCTGGAGAAATCTGCCTTGGAATCCACACAACTGATAGAATTTATCAGGATGAGGCTGGACGCTGTGGCCTCCAGGGCATGTTACCAGGCAACCACTTTCTCTTCATTGGACTCATACACCAAATACACACGAGCCCCAGAATGTCTGTACAATCCTGCCGACCCTGTTGGGTCATATGACTGCAAGTACCTACGTGACACATTAGCAAGAATTCATCTCAGATATCTATGAGCCTGGTTGTGGACTGTATGCACTCCAGGCAAGCACAGTCTTGACTTACTCATCATGGTTCCCCAAAGGGTCTTAGCCTCACTTACTTGGTTTGTGTGGGTACCATTCAACTCTGGCTTCCAACAAAGACTATGACCATGGGTGCATCCTTCTTAGGTTGGGGAACAAATGTGGAAGGGCGGGTTTCTCAAGGGACATGATCTCTGCAGAAGTCTATGCTTAATATCAGCATGTTCAAACTAAGAGCAGCCAGACTGCCCTGTGAGTAATTCCTCCTGCCCAACTGCGGCCAGTCAGTCCAAGTATTATTAAACAACAGTATGGCAGTCTGCTGTGTCAACAGCTGTGTGAGGAGGCCATTGAACTTTGGGAACTGGTGCATTCCCATGTAGATTACCCTGATGGCCACTGACCTGCCAGGAATCCAAACACCCTGGCAGGCTCTCTAAGCAGGCATTTCTCCACAGAAAACTAGTGGAAAGCTGCATGACATGACTCTTCAGATGGTGTTTTAGGTGTGGGGACTTGGATCCATGATCTCTGCCTCCCATGTGAACAGCAAGTGCAAAGAGTTCTGTTCTAGATGGGGGGTTGCACCTTAGGCTCTCTGGGTGACACTTTCCTCAGACAATGATCAGGAGCTGTGAGGTATGTCTTCCCTGACTCCCTCATTACCACGGGTTTTGAGGAAAATCAGACAGGACAAGATGTGAGAGATTTGCATAACACGGGGGTGGGCCCATCAGTTCTGGTACCCTATGCTTTTGCAGCTGTCAGCCTGGCCTCCTTCCCATCTCCCTTAACTCAGGATGAGGGAGGGACTTATCACTGCAACCTAGTCAACTTCACATGATGGCATGGTATTTGGATGGATGTCAGAGTTAGAAAAGGCCTGTTCAGCTGATGTCCAGGGCATCCTGAGCAGTGGCAGAAAGGACTCTGCCAGGAAATGTTACAAAGCAAAATGGAGGGAAAAAATGTTTTGGTGTGATCAATCAGGAATTTCCCCTTTACCAAAACACATTCTGGATGCATTGTACTACTTCATATCCTTAAAATCCCCAGGGTATTTATTAGCTCCTTCAGAATACACCTTGCAGCCCTCATGAAGTTCCATCTGCCAGTAGAGAGCTATTCTGTTTTTTCTCATCCAATCACTTCCCACTTCTTGAAAGGTATGATTTAGAACCCTGGATGAACAGAGTTCATGGCTTTGACAAGAGAGAGTTTTTACTCTGTGGCCCTACTAGCCTAGCAAGGAAGTGAAACTGACCAACTGTCAATTTCACAGTGCTCCAAAATGCATTGAGCTGGACAGGAAGTGAAAGTGACAAGCTTACTTGTCAGTTCCGCTGTGCTGCTTTGATGTCACCTATAATAGAGTGGCAGACATCAGAAAGCAGAGGAGAGAATTTGTGGCAGAGCCTAGGGTTGATAAGAATGAGGCTGGTGGAAAGGGCTGAGTGAAGGGAATATAGATTGTGGTGTCTTTGGCATAGAAGTGACCCCCACACTTGATTCATAGTTTCTAAGGCCAGATGGGACCATTGTGATCATCTAGTCTGATCTCATGTATAAAACAGGTCATAGAACTTCTCCAAAATAATTCCTGGAGCATATCTTCTAGAAAAAAATCCCATCTTCATTTTAAAAATTGCCAATGATGGAAAATACACCACAAAATACACCACAACCCTTGGTAAATTGTTCTAATAGTTAATTACCCTCACTGTTAAAAATGTATGCCATATTGCCAGTCTGAATTTGCTTAGTTTCAAGGTGAATTCAGAAGGAAATTGCCAAGGGATGAGATAGAGAAGGGATTTAAGGACTGAACCTGAAGGACACTCCTTAGAGAGGTCTAGTGGCAGAGAAGCCTCTCTTGCTAGCAATGACTGTGCCAGGGCATTGAGAAGGAGGCAACTGGGTGAAATGCAGCACTGAGCTAGAGAAGGAGCCAGGGCCACACACAAAATGAGGGTGGGAATCAAGGCCAGAAGAGAGGAAAGTTCTTCACCACCAAGAACCACACAAACCCAGTATCTTTAGCCATCATCTCAGTGCTTAAAGAATGGGAGCCACAGGGGAAACCAGGTTGTTCCGAGAGGTAGGTGAGAAAAGAGGTTTTCTGCATCCACTCAAGCTGCAGGGTGGGGACCCAAATTTCTGAACCTCTGTGTGGCAGCACAAGGCTGGGTTTCTGGACTGGACATATTTTATCATTTACTGAAGTGATTGGAGTGCTTTTCTTTGGACAATGCTCAGCTGTCAGCCAGTTGACAAATCTCCCACACCAGGAAGCTGTCTGTGTGTAGTGTAGATGGCTTTGCCTCAAGTCCCTTTGACTGCTAGTGCCAGATGGATTTTACACACACACACACACACACACACACGAGTTCCATTGCAGAGCTGACCTGTGCCGTTGATAGTGGAGGCGCAGAGTGAGGGCAGCCAGCTTCAGCTGTGTTACTGAACATGCACAGTCTGTGTGAGCATGCTCAGTACAAGCCAAGCAGCAAACCGGGGGGGGAGGGGCATGTGAAACCCCATGCCCCCCCATGCATCACCTCTGCATCTGTTTTCATGCTAACCCACCTGCTGAGTACACAAACCCAAGTCAGATGTACTCTGCTCAACCTCCAGTATTGTTTAAAACAATCTTAGAACAGTTTGCAGTGGGCCTGCCTTCTCACCGGTATATGGTATATTCAGGTGTTCTCCATAGTTCAGGGGTTCTCAAACTGAAGGTTGTGACCCCTCAAGGGGTCACGAGGTTATTACGTGGGGGTCACGAGTACATGCACGAAACAGAGAGCAGCAACCGCTATAAAATATATAATTTAAATCTAGCGTTTTAGAAAATTGCACACCTTTCCATCACAATGTAATGTATTTACTTCAAAAAGTATTGTAAATGTATAATGCAGTGAATGTATTTGTATTATCACCACTTTAAAGGAATTGGACTCTGTGGATTGTAAATAACAAACGCAGGTTTGTTGTCTTGAGACTAAAAAGTGGAACTGACAATATTAGAGGGCTTGATTGTTCAGCAGCTGAAGAGCTGCATTAAACCACAGATCAATCAGAATACTGAGATCGGCCAAAAACACACCCCTACAGGCAGGGGTGGCACTTGGGTAGGTTTGTGGGGGGCTATAGCACCCCCCCCCCCAAATTGTTGCCACTCCCCCATAGCTACCCTTCCCAGTGCAAAGGTCTACTGTTCTGCGCTGCTGCTGGCAGCGGCATTGCCTTCAGAAATGGGCGCCCAGCAGCTGCCACTCTCTGGCCGTCCAGCTCTGAAGGCAGCACCACTGCCAGCAGCAGCGCAGAAGTAATGGTGGCAGTGGTGTGCTAAGTCTGCTGTGAAAAATGATATTGGCAAAGTTTCTTTGCACTCTTCCCCCAGTATTAAACAGTACTAAACAGTATTAAACTATTTAAAAAAAATAACTTTTCTGCTTATAACAATAATTTGATAAAAATGTGTTTTAGTCTTAATTTAAAAACAGTGAGAAAAGGTAAATTAATTTTAAACAATAGGGTTATAAATTTAGCATTTAAAATAGTGTTAAATATAAAAACGTATTTTTAATTAATAAGAGGGGGGTCGCACTCAGGCTTGCTGTCTGAAAGGGGTCGCCAATACAAAAAGTTTGAGAACCACTGCTACAGTGTCTCTCTCACACTCTGACTCACCCACCCCTCATCTCCTGCCCTGGTTCTAGTGAGGAGTCACATCACTGCACTTCCAATCCAGAAAGGAAACAAGCCAAGAAATGTTTTTTACTGCAGCAGCCTCAAAGAGGAAGCACTTGAGCCAGTCCTGCTAAATTCCATTGAAATTGACACTTTCAAATGGAAAATGTCAATTTTGACACTTTATTTTTCCAAAGCAACATTTCAAAATGAAATGAAACATTTTGAATTAAAATGCTTCTTTAAGTGGAAATGTTAATTTGAAATGAAATTTTTCAGTTTGAAACAAAATGTTTTGGTTTGAATTGACATTTTGTTTTGATTGAAAATGTTGTTCTTTCATTTTGATGTTTCCAAATTGAAATTTTTTCATAACTCTTCATTCCATGAAAATATTTGATAGTCTGACTTTTTTGTCCTGATTCAGGATGAAAAATAAATATTAAAACCAGCGGCATTTCCCACAAGATGGGAATTCTATTTTCCAACCAGTTGTAATCAGTTTGTAGCCACTGTTCTGGCTCTTCCAAACCCATTCCCTCCCACCCTCCAATCCTCCTCATCTGCCTCTCTGAATCTTCAACCAGAGCGTAGAGCGTAATAGAGGGAACCAGGGAAGCTGGTGAAGATAATGAATTGTAGCCCACGGTGGGGTCAGGGTCAGTCTGGGGCCTTGCAGGCCCTGTGCAAAGAAAGACCAGCAGGACCCGGCAATCTGGTTATGCAGTGAGCATATAGCTAATGCAGTGAAAGGGAGAGCAGCTTCCTCACACTTTCTGCTCTCTGGGTTGTAATCCCAGAGTTAAGGTGTTTTACTGGCCCTGCGAGGAAATTGAATGGCTGAGTGAGTGGATCTCTGAAAAGCATGACTTGCTGAACATTGCACACTGAATCATGGCCTCAGACCCGGCCTGTGGGGATGGATGTTACTGGAGTTAATCAGATGCTTTGGTTTGCCTTTGGGGTCGTGTAGCCAAATCACCGTTGTCGCTGTGGTGCAGTAGGATGGTGTATCACTTCCCCCACCTTAGGGTTTGTTTTTCAAAAAGTTTATTTTCCCCACTTTTTTTTTTTATTTATTCCAGAAACGGGTTCTCTTTCTCACTAATGATTATTTCTTCACTGACATCAGTGGCACGCCTTTCAGGTGAGCAAGTGTATCTCAACTTAGGGAATGTACCTCTTGGGGGCGGGGGGCGTGGCTATTTGGTCCCCCCTTCTCATGATATTGGTTATGACAGAGGGGTTCCTTGCTCCCTTGTATTGGAGTTCAGATACTCTTACTGCTCGCTTGGGGATGTTCTTTTGTTAATAAGAGAGGAGAGAGCTGATGGCATTGGGGATCATAGCTCACCTCTCAGGGAGGGCAGTGTCAGATTTAAACATTTGAGGATTGCACGTGACCTTGTTGACAAACCCTCTGTTTTCCCCCTGCCTGCAGCCTGGGTGTCGTCCTCTCCCGTGGGCATGGGGAATACATCCTGCTGGGGAACACTTCCGTGGAAGAAGGTAGGTTAACCTGAAACAGTCACAGCTCTGTAGGGGGCAAGGATGCTGAACTTCATTGGCATCCCAGGGATGAGCTTGTGCCTCCCTCTCTTCTCTGTCCCCCACCTCACCCTCTTTCAGTGTGTTTGGTTCATTGACTGATCAATAGATTTATTGGTTGCTTTCTTGTTTCAGGTTTGCACGACCTGCTGCAGCCAGACTTGACCTTAGCTAATGAATGGTAAGTAGATGATATCCTGTTGATGATGGAGCTTTGGGTTGAGATCACTGGCAGAGTTTGCTCTGCTCTACCACCCACCCTGGCCTGGAGGAAAAGCAATGTTCTCCTGAAGTAACTGATGGTGCCAGAGTTTGGTGCAACCTCCTGAGACTTCCATCACTTTCTTTGGCAGATTATTCTACAGTCTGACCCATCTCCCTGTCAGGAAAGATCTCTTGATATTCACCCTCAATTCTCCTTTGCACAATCTCATCCTATTCCTGCCTAGAACTGTGCAACAAACCATAAATCACACAAAACTTAATGAAGTGGGATTTTGTTGCAAGGTCAGATTACACTTAGTGAGAAATCAGCTTGGTTCACATGCCTTTTAATTGAGCCTGGATGTGGTTTCTAGTGAACCTGGAGTTGACTTTATTAATGCAAAATCATATCATGCAAAATTTGTGCTTTTGCTTGGTTTGTCCATGAAACAAAACGAAGCTTGGCATTTTCAACTTTTGCTTTGAGATTTGTGTGTACCTGAAACTCTGCATTAAATTCGGGCATGTGAACCTCAAGTGGATCAAAACTAAAGCAATTATTTGCAAGAAACACTGCAAAAAAACCAATTTATTATACCCTAGTTAAAACCCCTCAAACCGCCATGAATAGCATCTCTTCCTCCTTCAGTTTCATGCACAGTTAACGTATATAGTCAAGTCATCTGTTCACCAGCTTTACATAGTCACTTCTTCTAGTCTTGTCTCATAAACCATTCCTTAAAGTTCCTTAATAATTTGTTTTTTTCTTTATACCCCTCCAATCTGACATCGAAGTGGCCAGAACTGAAAGCCATATTAGAAGGCAGGTCTCTTGTGGAATACAGAGAAGTGATCACCTTCCAACTCTGCATCCTGATGCCTCTGGATACACAGGCCCATTGATTTATCTTGCCACTATATCACATTGCAAGCTTGTTCACTGTCTAGTTATCGGTCTCCTTTGGTATTGCTGCTTTCCAGGTTTCTCCATCACACTGAATATTGTTATAAGCGGGCTAGTATATATGTTACCATTGCCCTTTGCTGGGTGAAATTAGAACTGCTCTGCTGTGTGTCAGAGGAACTATACTGCTAACGAAGATGCTTCTTTAGATAAAGTGGTAGCGTCCTGTGCTGTTTTTAACAGGAGGAGCTGAGTTCTATCCATGCTGTTAAGTTCTGAGCACCCAAGGAGTGCAGCATAATGACATCTGAAATTCCTAGGTGGCCAAGGATTTGTTACAATATTTTTTTCCAGATCACTAGTTTCCTGGTGTGATTGCTTGAAAGTGATTCTGTGTTTCTTTCCTTGCCGCCAGGATTTACTGCATCACCGATATTGATCCAGATCACCGGAAGCTCAGCCAGCTGGAGGCCATGATCCGCTTCCTCACAGGAGAGGAACCCGATCTGGAATGTGAGTGCTGGAAATTAAAGTGACCTACTGGAGCTCTCCTGTGCCTCTCCACCGTGGAGAAGGGCTGTGGGAAACGGAGTGGTGGTAGATTGAGCTCATGAGCTGTATGCTCATCTCTGCAGAGCGGAGTTCAAACACTTGCTCACTTCACAAGTGGAAATAAATTGAGTGGCCACATCCTAATCCCCAGCAGCAAGTGATTGTTTCCATTTCATAATTACCACAAAATTAAAACGGATTGAACATCTCTGTTAAGGAGAGATCCAGGCCTGTATTAGCTGGGGGTGCTGCAGGCCATGTTTGACAGAGCTGTGGGTGGAGCCAGGAAGGAAAGAGTGCCTGTGTGTAATTCAGAGCTGTGTAGTCCTAAAACCTTAGTAACATTATTTATATTGTGGTAGATCCCAAAGCCCTATTCAGAACTGGGGTACCATTGTGTTAGGCATTCCCTCAAACACAGGATAAAAGGCAAGCTCTGCCTTACTCCAAATTCAGTCATTAGCTCTTTAGGGTAGACGAAGTGGGTGTGATGGACAAAGGAGAGAAATGGACAAGAGAGGACAAATGTAATGAAAAGATCATGTGGATTCATAGTTTAGATATTGCACTACCTGATGTTCCCAGACAGTTTCAAATCACCTGAAAGTATGTTTGGGTTTTCTTTGGGTTTTGAATTAAATGAAATCAGCTATCTCCAACTGCTGCTCTACCTGAACATCGTTAGCTGGTTGATGTGTTGTAAATATCAGCACAGACGTGCATCTCGAGGGGGATCTGAGGGAAGAAAGAGTAGTGGCCTTATTAATCAAGTCAGAGGGTGCTCTATGAATAAGAAGCAGCATAGAAGAAAGCACAAAGATGTTTGTGGGACACGCAGATAAATGGCTGTTCAAAACTGGCATCATTGATGGCACGAAGGGTGCAGGAATGACGCTATAAAAGTCAAGAGCAAATAAGCAGGGAAGGGCAATGTAGTGAAGGGCATTAAGGGTGAAGACAAGACGTTTGAACTTGATGAGGTAGGAAAGGGGAGCCAGTGGAGGGATTCAGAGGAAGCAGGGAGGGTGTAACATAGAATTATGGGAAAGGTCAATGAAAGACTGTCTTAGTAGTTTTGTTTTGAAGGGGCTGGAAGGAAGTGAGATGTGTGTCAAGGAGGAGAATGAGGTAGATGATAAGGGCCTGGGTGAAAGTTTTAGCCATATGGACAGAAAGAAAAGTTCAGATTTTGGAATTGCAATGGAGGACGAAGCAGCTGGATTTGGACATGACCTGAATGTGTTATGAAAAGGAGAGGGAGGAGTCAAAGATGACCCCAGCTTACAGGTCTCTGTGACAGGGAGAAGAGGATCTTGTCAATAATAACAGAAAACAGGGGGAGTGGGGAGAGCATTAAGGAAAGATAAGGGATTCAGTTTTGGACATGTTAGGTTTAAGCTAATGGTGAGGCATCCAGGAGGAGATGTAAGGTAGACTGAAAAAAAGGGACAGAGTAGATGGACACAAGTCAGGAGTGAGGAAGATTTGCAAGTCAATGGCATGAAGATGGTGAGGAAGCTATCTGAGGTAGATGAGATCTCCAAAAGTAAAACTTTAGAGCGGGGCGGGCAAACTTTGTGGCCCGAGGGCCACATCGGGTTTCCGAAATTGTATGGAGGGCCGGTTAGGGGAGGCTGTGCCTCCCCAGACAGCCAGGCATGTCCCGGCCCCTGCCCCTGCCCCCCCGCTTCTCGCCCCCTGATGGCCCCCCCCGGGACTCCTGCCCCATCCAACCCCACCGTTCCCTGTCGTGCCCCCTCCCCCCCCGGGACTCCTGCCCCACACCCTGCTCCCTGTCCCCTAACAGCTCCTGGACTCCCCGCCCCTGACTGCCCCCCACCGCCCCATCCAACCCCCCTCTCCTTCCTGACTGCCCCCCCAGGACCCCTGCCCCATCCAACCACCCCTTCTCCCTGTCCCCTGACCGCTCCTGGAACGCCTGCCCCTGACTGCCCCCCCACGGGGACTCCTGCCCCACACCCTGCTCCCTGTCCCCTGACCGCTCCCGGAACCCCTGCCCCGACTGTCCCCCGCTGCCACATCCAACCCCCCTCTCCTTCCTGACTGCCCCCCCGGGACCCCTACCCCATCCAACCCCCCTGTTCCCCGCCCTCTGTCCACACCCCCGCCCCTTGACCACCACCTCAAACTCCCCTGCCCTCTATCCAACCCCCCCTGCTCCCTGCCCTCTTACTGCGCTGCTTGGAGCACCGGTGGCTGGCAGCCATACCGCCTGGCTGGAGCCAGCCACGCCACCGCGCAGCACAGAGCATTGGGTCAGGCCGTGGCTCTGCTGCTGCGCTGCCTGGCAAGAGCTCGCAGCCCTGCCACCCAGAGCATTGCGCAGGTGGCACAGTGAGCTGAGGCTGCGGGAGAGGGGGAACAGCGGGGGGGGAAGCGCTAGCCTCCCAGGCCAGGAGCTCAGGGGTCAGGCAGGAGGGTCCTGTGGGCTGGATGTGACCCGCGGGCCATAGTTTGCCCACCTCTGCTTTAGAGTGAGAAGAAAAAGGGGCTAAGAATGGCACGCTGTGGGATCTTCCAGGAGAATGGAGGAGGAGAACCCACTTAAAATAGGGCACAGCAGCTTTGTCTAGACTAGGATTTAACGGTGTGGTGTTAGATAACACTCCAAAAGTCTAGTGTGGATAAGCCAGTGTAGACTTTAATATGTGCTAAGCAAGTCAAGTTAAAGCTTAGGCTCAGCTGCCTTGTCCACACCACATTTTACAACTGTTTAGCAAGTATTAGCAAACTCCTTCCAACACCACATCTTTACATTCGCATCTAGACAAAGCCTATAGGAACAGCCAAAGAATAGGAAAACTAGGAGAGGATAGCATCCCTGAAGCCTGGTGAGGACAAGATTTCAAATTTCAAGAAGGAGGGTGTGATCCACTGTCAAAAGCAGAGAAGTCAGGGTGGACAAGAATGGAGTGGAGGTCCTGAGATTTGGCCACAGATAGATCATTCAAGACTTTCGGGAAGGCAGCTTGAGTGGAGTGGGCAGAAGCTTGATTAGAGGGGATCCAGGACTGAGAGAGAGGGAGTCAAGGCAACAGTTGTAGACTGTCTGTTCAGTGAGTTCAGGGGTGAAGGCCAAAAGGGAGGGGAATAAATAATTCTTTTGACCCTGTGTGACAAGGCTGGGACTCACCACTGCAGCGCCTCCTGCTGGTTGCCTCCGGGAATTAGCTCAGTCCAGTGGAGCACCCTCTCCTGGTGGTGTCCCGCCCGTTGTCTCGCCCTTGGTTGGCATCTGAGCCCGCGTCGCTCACCAGCTCACGGCGTCCTCTTTCAGACCACTGCCCTCCAGCAGTGCCCCTCAGTCCAGCCACACCTCCTTCCGGGGGGTGGTTGATCAGCAGTCTCTCTGCACCCCAGCCACCATGTCCAACCACACACGCCAAAGTCTAATCCCTCTTGCCAGGGATCTGGCGTAGTCTATGATGGCTGCTCCCCACAGCCGATAGCTGGGTGTACTGCAAGGGGGGGACCCATGCCCACTCTCTACTCTGGGTCCCGGCCCAGGGACACTCTGGTGGCAGCCTTGCTGTCCTCCTTCTCTCCCCTCCGTCTGTCCACGTCCCTGGGCCGCTTCCTCTTCGGCCCCTCGCACTGGCTAGGCCTTTCCCCTCAGGGCCTGCAGCCTGGCAGACACTGGGCTGGAGTTCCCTTCTGCTCCCTCGGGTCTGGCCAGCGCTGTGCTGTGCTGTCCGTGGTGCCAGTCTTGCTACTCTGTTAGTCTTTAAGGTGCCACCAGACTCCTTGTTGCTCTGGAGACAGACCTTCCCCTCTCAAAGGCCTGGGACAGACTGCCTGCTTCCTTCCTGAGCAGCCTTTTTATAGGGCTGAGCCTGGCCCTGATTGGCTGCCTCCAATCTGGGCCCCGATTGGCTCCCAATAAGCCCTTCTCTAATTGGCTCCCTGTCTGCACAGGCTTACTGGCCTGCTGCAGCCCACACTCTCAAGGAGTGGGGCAGTCCGCCCCACTACACCCTGTTTTATTTGCTCAGCCTTTCAACCCCCCGAAATTTTGGGCTGACAGAAGGTGACCTCTGACCCTTTAAAACTGTAAAGAGTGACCAGCGCGCTGAACTGCCATATGAAAGTGACCACCTGAACCCCACAGTTAGGATCACTGCCACTCATGTACAGCATGGCGGTGAGCTGCCCTGACTGTAATGCTGTCTGTGTGACTGCTGCTAGACAGTCCGTGAGAGTGGCTTGGTCACACCCTGGTGAGGGTTCCCCTGCTGTCCTCTCAGCCAAAGGTGAGGCACCCCTGGGATGGTCAGCAGATGCAAGTGGGATCTTCTTTTTATTCCCTGTTGTTCAACCCACTGGACCACAAGTTAGGTCAGTAACATTGCTGCTCTAAAGGATATCTAGGAGGCAAAGGCCTGGTCCACACTAACCCCCCACTTCGGACTAAGGTACGCAAATTCAGCTACGTTAATAATGTAGCTGAATTCGAAGTACCTTAGTCCGAAGTTACCGCGGGTCCAGACGCGGCAGGCAGGCTCCCCCGTCGATGCTGCGTACTCCTCTCGCCGAGCTGGAGTACCGGTGTCGACGGCGAGCACTTCCGGGATCGATCCAGGATCGATTTATCGCGTCTAGACAAGATGCGATAAATCGATCATAGAAGATTGATTGCCTGCTGCCGAACCAGGAAGTAAGTGTAGACGTACCCAAAGGGATGACACCATTCTCACTCCTAATCATGTTTGGGTTTTTTTGCTCAGGTGATGAGGACTTGGTCCAGGAGGTGCTGTTTGATGCGGTGGTAACTGCGCCAATGGAGGCCTACTGGACAGCCTTGGCCCTCAACATGTCTGAGTAAGTATATGTGAAAACGCAGCTGAAATTCATTCAGATCCCATGGTCGTCTTGGGAGTTTGGACAGGGTCTCCTGATTCCCTGGTGAAAGCTCTGTGGCCAAGTTGAAGAGCAGCTTGATTCCCTTTGTTCCATAGAGCTCATAATAGATCCTTACATAGCACTAAGCTGACCACAGAAACAGAAGCAGGACATCAATCTCCCTCTCAGGCATGGACTCCAAGGAGGAGGAGTCTCACAGTTGAGGTCTTGGTAATAGATACAGAAACTTACACTTCAAAGTCATGAGTTCAAATCTCACCCAAGGACAGTAGTGACTAAGCTTTGTTACCATGTGACAACTGTTCCTTGAACTACATAAAGTGAATTGAGCTGAGTCCAGCTTCTATTGGAGTATCACAACTGGCAGTAGTTGGCTCTCTTACTGACACTGAAGCCAAGGATTGAATGGGCCATAGAAATTGACCTACCTGTCACACTTATGGATGGTGCCTTCAGATCAGGGTTGAAGTACACAGATGGAAGCCTGGACTGCTGCTGCCAGGCCTGAGAAGGGATATAAATCTAGAGGGTCTTGCCTCCACTTGGGGTTTTTTTGGAGGCAAAATTTTCTCATGGCTGCTACCACCTGGGCATTTAGGGCCACTAGCACTTTAACGCTGTGTTGTTCAGATCTGCTTGCAGCATATATTATAAACATTGGCAGCCATGGTTGTCTTATCTGTATTTGGACTCCCACTGTTGCTACCATTGGTGGAGTTGAATGAGTGGTAGGAATGGCAGGAAATTTTTGCCAACAAACCCTAGTGTAGATACAGCCTTAGTCTGTCATCCACCACATTCCTCTCACTTAAAAAGACAGTGCCGTGTCCATAGCAGCTGGCCCTCTACACTGTGAGCCTCTTCACAACAACGTCAGGTCTGTGCTACTCACAACTCCAGCAAGGTCGCCCTGCACCACTCAGTTATGTCATCCCTCGCAATCCCTTAATCTCCCTGTCCCAGACAGTGTTCGGGTTCAGCCCTGGGAGCACACCCATTCTCTCTGAGTAACTCATCTCCCGCCCCAATCCCATATGTAAATAACCTGCAGCTGGGCGGGCAGGAGTAGAGAACTTTAAGTTCTCTCTGTAAAGGGACAAAATGAACAAATCACAAAAGTGTGACTGTGAGAATGAATAGTAAAATCGTAATAATCCTAATTCCCGCTCAGATTTTCAAATGTGTCAGTTCTGGTGTAACCCCACTGAAGGCAGTGGCATTATATCGCAGGGGAATTTGGTCCTAAATACTTAAGAAACCTCCCACTCCAATGTGTTGCCCTCTGAATCTCCACTTTGGAGGTCCTTACTACATGGAAGGCTTAGTTCTAGCTCTGAGATCTAATTCTGCCCCATGGGTCTCTCTCTCTGTCCCACAGTAAGACTGAGCAGGAGGTCGAGACGGCATTTCTGGGCACTCGAGCCGGCCTCATGAGGAGCCTCCTGTATGTGGGATCTGAGAAACTCTCGAACAGGCAAGTCCTAAAATGAAACTTCACTGAGGAGTTTCTTCTAGTCTCTGTGAAGGAGCAGCATGAAATTGCCACTGTGCCTTGAACGGTATCCAGGGTTACAGAGAACAGAATGGGAAGCAACCAGGGGTTAGTGGAGCAGACCTGTCCGATGTGTCATAAAGGATGGGGCAGGGCACTGTTTTGTGCTTGTTCTGTGTGTTATATGGCAAAAACCTGTCCCAGAATGCAATGGTTTCAATGTAAAATGTAGGCTGATTTTTCTGGGAGACCTAATCTTTTCTTTGATTGTTCCAAAGTCCTGGTCAGGAAATAGAAGGGCTGTTGCCAAGACATTACAGCCAGAAGATCTCCAGTGACACTTTTTGTGAGAGTATGGGTGGGGTCTATGCTTTAGCTTTTGGGCCATGTTCCAACTTGGCTAGTAATACTCTGCCTATCTCAATTCCCCTTTTAATCTCATTTGCTGGATATTCTATCCTATACAGGTTCTTATACTGCCCTCATCATCATAGTATCTGAGCACCTTCCAGGGGGTGCATTACGCAATGTGACTAACGTCTGTCACATGTAGTTAGTCTCTCTCTCATCCTCTCCCTAGAGGGAGAATTGTGTGTGCAGTGGAGTGTTTTGGCTTGGGAGGATTTTGGTTAGAGTTATTTTTAGAGTTATTCAGCTGCTTTGAGTTCCTGTTAGAAAGTAGGCTGAATAAGTGTGCCCTGCACTTGGAGCAGAAGGTGCTGAAGTTTGTGATGGTCCTTCGTTCCTGTGGGAATGTCTTCCACAGTCTGGGACCAGTCCCTGAGGAGGTTCCATTTCCTGCACAGATGAGCTTCACCCTTATGGCAGAAAGTCCCATTGTACCTGAGGAGTGGACTTGTCAGATATGCTGGGCCCAGGCCATTGACTGCTTTGAAGATAAGAAGCAAGACCTTGAACTTGACTCAATGTGCTGTGGGAAGGCAGTGTAGATTCCCTGTCCTATACTGCTGGCACATAGCATTTTTCTGTGCTTTTAAAGGGTTGCAGGTGCATCTCTCCAGTGGTGGCTGCATTTCAGTGGCAGATTCCTGTATGTAGTATGTAAAGCTCTTCCAAATCCTCTGGAAAGGAAAGAACCATATAAATGACCAATCATTGTTACATCAAAATATACAGCAAAAGTAAAGATCTGAAATAAAGAAATCGGGGAGGGGGAGGAAGAAGTGGAGATCTTGCAAGGAAGTCTGTTACCTGGTTATTCCTGGTGCTCCGCCCAGGTATGGTTTATGTTATGGCAAGTGCAGAAGCCCATAAATCAATTTTTTTTTGTTTGAGAATCTCCAATGAGTCTCTGGAACTTGGCTGTCCTGTAAGGGGGGCATCATTTATCCCTTATGACCTCCTTTGCCCTTCTTGACCTGGTCATTAGCTCTGTCTATACACCTCTACCTCGATATAACGCTGTCCTTGGGAGCCAAAAAATCTTACCGCGTTGTAGGTGAAACCGCGTTATATCGAACTTGCTTTGATCCGCCGGAGTGCGCAGCCCTGCCCCCTCGGAGCACTGCTTTACCGTGTTATATCAGAATTCATGTTATATTGGGTTGCGTTATATCGGGGTAGAAGTGTATCTTGTTTTCTTGATCAGGCAAGACTCAGACCCCTCCCCCATCTCTCTTTCACTGAACACCGTAGCCAGTTCCTGATTCTTGACTGAGTCAGAAAACTAGGAGTCTTCATTCCCCTACCACACAAATAAAAGGGCTTCCTCGTGATCTCTTTCACAGCCTCACTCTTGCGCTTGGGAGCTGAATGCGTGAAGGGGATTAGATATTTTAAAAGGAATTCAGACAGAGGGTAAAATTTTCTAAAGCACCCAACTCCCATTTTCCAAAGTGATTCAGGCACCTAGGAGCCTAAATCACTTGCACACCTTTGAAAATTTTATCCAGAATTTTTTGGTTGGATAACTAGTCCCACTTGCATAGTAAGTGCAGGCCTCTCATCTGCACAATGATCCCTGTGATGTCTCCTAAAACATTACCTGGACTAACAGCGTTCCTTCACCTGCACATGGCACCTGTTGATACTTTAATACTACAGCTGTGACCCATGGTAACTAAATCTCTTCCCCCTGCATATGGTAACACCTGTTAGTACATCCATATTGCAGATGTTAGCTGGAATAACACAATCCCTACAGTGCTACAAATAGATATCCTGCTGTTGCAGCTCTGGGCTGGGATATAGGATTGTTCAGAGCTGCAGGGTACCACACAGCACAGATTCTTACTTTGCACTTCCTTGCATCTCCCTTTTTCAGTTTCATGGTTCATTCTTACCCACAATAGAGATGACTTATGCATGTTAGTGCGGGCCCCAGTGGGATGAGCTAAGTGAGGTAGGTGCTACCTGTTCACCAAATGGCAGCCTAGGCAGGTAAAGAGTTTCAGCTTCAAGGATGTTACTTATTAGCTATACCCATCCCACCTACCACTGGTTATGTATGGTGGCTGAACAGCCTGTGCTGGGGGGTAATGTGGACATAGATGTGGACAACAGCACCACCTGGTGGCTCAATATGGAAAAAGTCATAAGATCTATGTGACATGCTGAGCAGAATCCAAGAAGCGGAGAACCTGGGAAATAAGGCTCTTGGGTCATGCAGATAATTCTCAGACAGCTCAGATGTGTTCCTAAACCTAACCTCTGTCTTATCTGCCTACAGCAGTAGCATTTGTAAAGCAGCTGCCACCATAGTATTTAGGTGCCTTGTGCCTTATTTAAAAATAATTTTATCTTGCTTGTCTGCAACTGGACCGCTGTATTCTCCTCTTACCAGAGGTGAGAGAGTCTTATGGAATATGTAAGGATCAGTTTATTTGGGGCTGCTACTCTGTATTTGACAGTATATACAACCATCTCTACTGAGGGGTTAGATCTTTGCAAGAGGTGTGACTTGTTCTTAAAAAAGAGGTGTAGGCTCAGCATGGTCTTCTATAGCCAAGGGCCCTCTGCCTAATTGCACTTTCTTGGCAGACAAAGGATTGATACAAGGCTCTATTAGTTGTAGTGACTCTGTGGACTGGAGAATTCTTGGAGAGTTGCATAGAGCAGGGGTTCTCAACCTTTTTCTTTGTGAGGCCCCTCCAACATGCTATAAAAACTCCTTGGCCCACCTGTGCCACAACAACTGTTTTTCTGCATATAATATATGGAGATATACCTATCTCATAGAACTGGAAGGGACCTTGAAAGGTCATCAAGCCCCAGACCCCTGGTTGAGAACAGCTGGCGTAGAGAGACTGTCCTGGTGGTTGTCAGGCCTAGTCTATTGAGAGCTTTGTAGATCAGCACTAGAATCTTAAAGTAACTCTGGGATGTGATGGATAGTCCATGTAGGGCACTGCACACAACTCTCTTGCCAAGGTGTGTCTCTTAGAGATGAGCTGCAGTGTGCTGGATCAGCTGAAGCTTCCCCAGTGCTTTCTAGATATAGGCCATTGCCATAATCCAGCCTAGAAGGCAAAGGCCATGTCTGTAATAGTGAGGAAGGAGGCACTGATTTCTTGCCAATCAGGTGGGGAAATATATTTCTGATAACCTTCCATGCAGCTCCAAATGTGGGTTTCTTCCAATGGCTCATGTGCAGGTCACATACTCAGCTTCCCCAGCACCACCAGTGAAGTATCTTGGGCATCTTGACTTTATGACTTGTCCTAACCAACTCATCCTTTAAAAATGCCAGAGCCCTTCCTGTGAAAGAAGGGGTGGGAGCCATAATTTCCCAACCACTGTGCTTGCGTGAGTGTTTCTGTCTCTCTCAATTCTTCCCTGCAGTTTGTTGGACACAGTTAACTTTCTGCCCTGTGGTGTACCTGGTGTACCTTTGTGCTGCTAAAGAGCAGCCACCTTCCACCCCAGCAATGGCTGCATTTCAGCAGTGGATGAACTGACGATGGTAGCCTGTGTGCTGCATATAGTTTGTAAACTGCTCTGGGGTCCTTTGGGGTGAAAGGTGCTATCTGACTGTAAGTTTAGTATGTCACCGGCCTGTGACTATCCTGACGCTGTGTTGGTGCCCTGACAATGCTAAGTGCAGAACATCCCCCCAGGCAGGCACTGTGCTGAATGCAGCTGAGGAGGGAGAAGTGGGCTTCCCTGTCCCAGATGAAGGTGGCAATTTTCACTTTTTTTTTTCTTCCTTACAGGAAGTTCCTTACCTTGGGGGACAAGGAGAGTATCTTCACCATGGATCACTTCCCCCTGTGGTATCGCCGAGCAGCAGAGCATCCTCCAGGGAGCTTCATCTACAGCATCACCTCAGAAGAGGGTTCAGGTAACCCTCGCCTTAGCACTACAGAAAAGGAGGGAGATGGAGAAAATAAACGTGTCACTCACAGTCCCCTGCTCCCTGTCCCCACCCCATTCACCTTCATTATCCTCTTCCTGCAAGACTGAGCTCTTACACAAGGGGAGATGGTGAGAGCTATCCTCGGGCTGCTTGAATCTCATGCTGGTTCTGTAGTGTGGGTAGGCATCCCCTCACCCCATGGAGCCCCAAAGTGACAGCTGACTAGCAGCTTTGTTGTGTCTATGCTCAGGATGTGATTGTCCCCTATGTGATCTCCAGAGCCTGCAGGGGCCTGTGCCAAGGTGGAGGAGGACAGGAGAGCACAAGAAAAATCAGAACAAAATATTATGTGACGCTCATGCAATGGAGGCAGAAATCCCCTCTGTGCTCTTCCCCAGCCCCCTGCACTCAGGCATTGTCACAGAGTGCAGCGCTTTCACTGTAAACGCTTTTTGTAGCATTGTGGTGGGAGGGTATGTGGGAGGGGAAGTGAGCAGCACGGAGAAGAAAACGAGGATGGGATCCAGAAGATGAACCAGGATATAAAGGGAGGGGGAGAGAAAACACACTAAACCTTCCATCCATGCTCTCCTCTCCTCCTTGCCCCCAAGTATACCTCACTTAAAGGGTCACCACTAGAGTGAAGGGCAGAGGTGGCAGTCGTGGCAAGAAGCATCGTCTGCCAGACTACGTGCAACTTTCATTGTTCTTTGCAATAGAGCAGGGCTTAGAAAGTCAGACATTGGCACCCCGCATGGATGTGACCTCCTGAAATCCCTGCAGTGGCTTCCTATCAACATCCAGTGTGAGAGCAGTGTGTACCTTCATCACCATGTGCAGTTACCCATGGGACCAGGTATCAGTTGCTAGTCACTGTGGGACAGATCCTGCGGTCCTTGCTCATCTGAACCCTAATTGACATCAAAGGTAGCTTTGCCTTAATAAGGACTGCATAAAAGCTGGCTTTTGTTTGGTTCATAGTATCCCTTAGCCATGACCAAGCTCAGGGCCAACTGTGCTAAGCACTGACACATAGGAAGAGACAGTCCCTGCCCCAAAAAGTTTACGTTCTAAATAGATAGGACAGACAAAGGGTGGGGGAGGAAGGAAGGATTATTCTTAGGAGTCTACTTAAATCATGGAGAAATCACACTTTTTTCATGGTTTGGTCACAGCATAAATAGCAAATTTCACAGATGGTCTGGTATTGCCACCCTTACTTCTATGCTACTGCTGACCACAGCGCTGCCTTCAGAGCTGGGTAGCTGGAGACCCGATTTCACAGGGGAGATGTGATTTCATGTCCTGCAATTTTCACACCTGCAAATTTGGTAGACCCCCTAATTCTACTCCCCTTTTTACAGATGAGCAACTGAAGCACAGAGAGACTGTCATTTGCCCAAGGTCACATATTAAGTCTGTAGCAGAACTGGAAATAGAACACAGATCTCGAGAGTCCCAGTCTAGGGCCTTCACCACATGATCATGCTTCATGACCCAGCAGGACCAGGAACTTCACATGACCTCCCTCTAGGGAGTTTGATCCTGCATTTGTTGTCTACCCGAATCCCCTACAAGCGTCACAGGGAGTTTTGGGTTCACAAGGAGTGCAGGATCAGGCTCAAAGCATATGAACATAATCTGGCAGGGAAGTCCTTGTGTTTCACAAGTGCTTCTCTCAATGCATGCAGTGTCCTTGTGCAAGTCAGTCTGACTTCAGTCAAAAAAATCCACACACGACCTCAGGCTAAAACACAGAATGCAAGTGCAAAGTCATGTTCAGGACACGTCAGACACCAACAAGAATGATGAAGGCAGAAGTAAGACAATGACAAATGCTGGGACTGTGGGGAAGGAAAAAGGACCTAATCCATCTGCTGGGGCAAAGCACTGAACTCTACAATCTGTTGCGAAGGAATGAGTGGCAGAATAAATATGCTCAGAAATATTGACCTTCAAAATGTCCCCGGTAACTGTAAAAAAGAAACCACAGCCCCTATTTTTTGTATTTCAACAAATCCAATAAAACCCTTCAAAACTGGAATCTGTCCCGAGGACAGTTACAGACTAAAATGACTGAGTTCAACTTAGGAAATGGCACACTGCCTAAGGTGCAGTTCAGACTACATGTGCAACCATGTTTTTTGTATCCAGTGTGTGGCACAACCTACACAGGGCCAGATTGTGATGGCCTTTAGTTGGCCGTGGAGGAGTTAGGGGCCAGAATCCTCTTGGAGTTGAGGTCATGGCCTCATCCCGCCTCCATCCTGCCCTGCAGAGTGGGGCTGGTGCACCAGCAGAAGCAACCTGCTCCGTCCTAGTGCGCTGTCTTCCATGCACATGCGCAGCCCCAGGAGAGGCTATGCCTACCTGACATACAACCACCTCAGTGCCCCTCATGGGACAGAGTACACGGTCCACTTGGCTCTTTATGCAGAGCTGTTCTATAAATGGCACAATCTAGTCCAAGGTTTGAATTGTGCCTGCTTTTATGCCTCAGAATAATAGCTGAACCATGTTTTTGCATTCACTCATACAACACTGCCTAAACTTTGTTTGTGTACCAGTGCATTCTGGGAAAATCTGGGCAGCTAGCCTATACTGTCTCAGCAGGAGAAAGCGTAGAGGACATGCACACAGAGAGGCACCAGTGGCATGAGGTGCAATGCGCTCGGGGGCATCCTACCTCACAGAAAACAAGGAGGAAGAAGGCCTGGCTTACTTGAGTGGTGTTCCTCTAGATTTAAACAGGTCTAACTGAGCCCCAAACTTGGCCTTATAGTGTAATGATACAACCCACTTATTCAGACAGGTAAACAAACTTGAGGTGGGCAGGAAGGTTGGCTGAGTCTTGTAGCAGCTTCTCAGGGGGTATGTACTTTCTTATTTTGAGGGCAACACCCTTGCTCTCATGGGCCATTCCACCAAGAGGAAATCTGGTCTCCTGAACTGCCAATCAGGATGCTTCAGTGTTCTGGGAGATGCAGACATGAGCTCAGAGTTGAGCTTTTCAATGTTGGGGCATCCTTTGTGCACTATTATCATGTGGCATCCCCATGCACCCAGTCCATGTCAGAGCTGGCTACTTCAGTGATCTCAGTAGTTTTTCTCTGTGGAAAGTAAAGAGCTCCTGTGTGTGGTCTGTGCCCCCTTCCCCTGGCAACAGAGAGAAAGTAACTGAATCTGCTACATCTGTGTCTTGACAGAGGGAGGTAGCAAACCAGAGGTGGTGACAGTGAGCACATCTGTTGCTGTGACTGTGGATGGGAAGACGGCTATTGCTGCAGGTAGGACCTGCCAAGAACAGGTTTTTATTTTGTTCTTGAATAAGAGAGTGGCACAATGTCTTGCAGGGGGGAACCTTCCTTCCAGTGAGATCTGTTAGCCTGTGGAATTGTCTTCCTAAGAAAGTGGTGGAAACTACATGACTTGTGTTATCGAAAACTAGACTGGACAAAGCACTAGAAAATATACAGTATGGCTCAATCCTGCGTTGGGCACAGGGAGAGGGACTGGGTGAATTAACAGGGTGAATTCTGTTGCTGATATCTATGAGTCTATGGATTGGTGCAGTCATTGATTGTAGAGCAGAAAGCTTGCACAGTGGGTAGTTTTGGAGCTTTGAGATCATTGTACTGTGTTTGGGCCGATGGAGTATTTGTGATGCTTATGCTGAGTTTCAAAAGAATGAGATGTGCCTCTACCTCCAGTAATTCTGCTGACTTTGAAATTCTCTCCTGTAAATTCCCACCATTCCCTGTAAATCTAAGCCTTGTGCCCTCTCTGAAGGAGTTTCACTGAATTCCATGTGTGCTATTGGAAGATAATGATCTCACATTTATAGAACACCCGGTCACGTTCTGCGGTGCAATCCAGACCAGTGAGGGGTTGTGTGTCACTGCCTGCCCTGTAACCCTGAGTGCCTCAAAATGATCTTCTGCTGTAGCTGCTTGACTGGATGCTCCAGTCAGCAGACAAGCCTGGTGTATGGGTGTGTGTGTGTGGGGGGAGGGCAGCTCTGGTGCAGCACTCTGTTTCCAGCAGCCTGCTTGTTATATTGCTGCCACACTCTGGCCTCCACCAGCTTTAGTTACACTTGGCAAGATGGTCCCAACAGCCACCAGTCCTAAATTTTCCCAAAATCATGTGTTCTGCAATGATCAACCCTCTCCTGGACCATTCAGAGAGATAGTAAGGTGTGTTTGTTCCTTTAAAGGTACAGTACTCAGCAGCTTGCCACATCAACTGGCGTTAACATTCACTTTAAATCAAACGCAGACTGGGTTAGTTTAGATTCAAAGTAAAACAAGTCTATTAACAAAAGGAGAGGATATTAAGTGAGTTCAAGTATGAAGGATAGAGTTAGAAATGGTTACAAGCAAATAAGAATGCTTTCTAGAGGCTAAGACTTAACACAACAAGCTACGGCCTTTGTTCAAGGTAGTTTCCTTATCAATTTACCTTCCAGCAAGTTGGCTGACCACCCCTCTGGTCAGGATCTCCCAGAAAATCCAAAGTATACGGTTCATTTGCCTTATCTGAAAGATAAATTGGGGTTCTTTGCCCCTCTCTTTATAGTCCAGTGCACCTTTTAAATGGATTCTTCTGAAAGTTGCCCACCAAAGTAAAGTTCATTCAAGCTCTGAGGAAGGCAACATGGAGTCTCCTTGTGAAGGAACTTACATGATGGTTTCTCCTTTCACTGGTGTTTGCTAAAATGCAGATTGATCTGTTTCCTGCAATCTCCTCTCCTTGCTGTAATGTTGGATGGTTCTCTCCTCCCCTTGTTGGTTCAATGGTCCTGTTTACCTTCTACATAAATTGCATTCCCATTGTCTGGAAATACCTCTCTGGTTCAGCTATCGTTACCTCTTAGACCAGATTCTGTGCTCCACTTAGGACTAAATTAAAAATTGCTTCTCCCTTTGTAGGTTCCATGACTAGCTGCTCCCAGAAGCAGGGGCGGGACATCTGCCATCCACAAGAACTGGAAGATAGGACTTGATAAAATGCATGTACAGCTGCTTGCATATTAAATAATTAGATTATACTCATATGAAAGCGGAGCGGGCCGAGCCACTGCTTCTAGCAGCTCCCATTGGCCCAGAGCAGCGAACCGCGGCCACTGGGAGCCGCGATCGGCCGAACCTGCGGATGCGGCAGGTACACAAACTGGCCCGGCCCACCAGGGGCTTTCCCTGCACAAGCGGCGGAACAAGTTTGGGAACCACTGGGCTAATGCATACACTCATTATTTTACGAACATTTTTATGGAACCTAATTTTAAAAAAAAATTCCACATTTCAGCCCAATGAATGTTTATGGCTTAGTCAGGAAGGCTTGACAACAATAACGTGATGTGGGGACCATTGGGTATTTCCAGAGGGAGCAAAATATTCTGGAAAGGAGCATTGAGTATAACCAAAACAACCCTTTGGAAATCTGTTAGTGGAGGTAGCTGAGTTTGAGATTTGCTCTGGAAGTTGGAGTTTTGTTTCAGGAACTCAGGAAAGTGGATGTTTGGGTGTTTTAGCCAGCCATCTTGGAGTTAGAACTTCAATTCAGGAGACAGTCATGTTTGCAAGTGCAGATGACTCAACACCAGAGGAATAAAAGAACAGGAGGCAAGTCTGTTAAGAAACTGCTGAATATCCAGGTTATTGATTTATATATTATGCACATGGATCTTGAAAGGATTTTCAAATTGTCCTGTTACAATAGTTCATTTCTTAGAAATCGGGATAAGAATGGCCTTATTGCTAGGTGGAAAGACACTTCTTTTCATCACACTGAAGAGTACTGTTGCAGGGGCGTATGTGCCTAGCCTTGAATAGTAATATCTCAAACTGACATTGGTAGCAGTGGAGCAAGAAGACAGCATTTTATCAAGTCCTATCTTTCAGTTCTTGCGGATGGCAGATGTCTGGGGGATTATAACCAGAATGGGAACACAAGCTTAACTATCGTGGACATAACAACAAGATATTATGCATGCAGGGCCATCCCTAGGGAGATGCGGGGCCTGGGACAACCCCCCTCTCTGCCCCAGGCCCTGCCCCCATTCCACCCCTTCCCCCAAACCCCCTCCCTGCCTCTTCCCACCCCTGCTTCACCCCCTCCCTGCCCCCATTCCATTCCTTCTCTCAAGCCCCCGCCCCCACCCCGCCTCTTTCCGGCTTCCGCCCCATCCCCTGAGCGACGCCGGGAGCCAGCGTGGTGGCGTGGAGCAGGGTGGACTGGGGCCAGGTCACTCGCTGCTGCTGGCACCAGGCCCCCTGCTAACCTCCCAGGCCACCCTGGACCCCGCGTCACCCTAAAGCATGGGGGGCCCCAAAGCGCGGTAATCCCAAACATTGGTGGAGCCAGGCCCACGTTCCTAAATATTGGTGGAGCACGGGCCCATATAACTTGCCACCTATGTACGCTTTCTGCTTTTGCAGCCTCTCTAACTTCCATTAGCATTGCAGTCACTGTCACCATCTTGGTTAGGTGGTTGGTAGTATATCCCTACTGCTATACCCTTTTTATTCAAACATGGAATTTCTATTCCTAGAGATTATATGATACAGTTTTTCATTTAAAATTTTTACCGTATTTGACTCTGTATGCTTTCTTTTACATATAATGCTACTCTCCTACCAGAGAAACATATGCTGTCATTCCTAAATATTTTATAGCCTGGTATTACCGTGTCCCACTGAAATTGAAGGGGAAATAAAACCTTTCAAAGTGTTATTGGCCGTTGAGGAGCAACTGACTTCCCAGGGGAGTGATAATATAATATGGATTCTTTCACTTCTAAACCACCATTTCAAATCCAAACTAGGTCATAAGTAATCTTAAAATTATTACCAACCCAAGGCTGTTCAGAGACTGCTGTGAAATAAGTTGATGGTTCGCATCACAGACATTACCATAAAAACTGCCATCAACTGACACTATGGCTAGCATTCCCAACTGAGAATAAAATGGCGTAGAGCAGTGGTCCCCAACGCAGTGCCCGCAAGCGCCATGATGCCCGCCGGGGCATCTATGTGCGCCCACGTACTGGCCAGCGGACGAGCCTCCGCCGAAATGCCGCCGACAAGCAGCGTCATCCAGAGGCGTTGCTGCCGAAATGCCGCTGATTTTCGGCAGCATTTCGGTGGCAACGCCTCTGGATGACGCTGCTTGTCAGCGGCATTTCGGCAGCGACGCCTATTGACGTTGCTGCTTCTCGGCGGCATTTCAGCGGATGCTCGGCCACGGTCCGCGGTGGCTCGTCGTCTGGTGCCCGCCAGACGAAAAAGGTTGGGGACCACTGGCATAGAGACTGAAGTACCCACTGATGTCCAGAGGTATTCACTCTGAGTGCAGCATTGAGGTGTATTTAGGAACATTGGCCCAGGTCCTCAGCTCAATGGAAGTAAGGAGCTTAAATACCTTTGAGCATCTGGATCATGGTGTTTTCACCTGAGACATAAACATGAAATCCTGATCACGTGTGTTCCTTAAAGATACCATGATTCTTGTCATGGGTAAACCTGTTTGGAAGACATAGCCAGTTCTAGGTAGGTAATGCCTTTCTATGTACTTAAATCCTCTCGGCACTTTCCATTGACTCAGGTATTCTTCTCTCCCTGTTTTGTAGCTCATTGTTGAAGAGTTGCCATATTTCACCCGAGAGGTGGCAGCACAACAGTGATGTGCAAAGTAATTTCTCTATACAGGCCCCAGATGATCCACATGGGCTGACCCAGCACCCGTGCATAGCCCCATTGACTTCAGTGTGGGTATATGGGTCTGCCTGTATGGAGCCAATTGTTGGCCAGGAGCCTACATTTACAACCACTTTACGATCTTACACGTATATAATGTCTTTCATTCTTCTTATTCAGAATTTGCACTGTTCCCAGTATACCCTATAATGGAATGGGTTTGTAGTTATTGGACAAGTTATGTCAGAATCATATAAACAGGGGTTTGGAGGGGTTTTTAAATGCCATTTTAAAAAGTGTCCTCTATGAAATGACTTGTCATCCTGCCAGTGGCTGTAACTGTCACATGCTTGACTTGCTGATGCTTGGGGAGATTCCAGTGCATTCCAAAATATCCATAACACATGCAGTGATAAACTCAAGTCTGGGATTTATAACAGGGCCTGCAAGGAGCAAGCCCCCACAGCACCTCTTCTTGTTGGGAGCTCCAAATACCTAAAGAGCTGTGTCCCCTTTGTTCTGGAAGCTGAGTTTCACTCCCCTCGATGCTGTGAAAGGCAAACCCTCAAAATCAAACAAACAAGGTGACA